TGCTTCTCTTCCCATACAAGTCAATGGGAATGCAAAAGCAGCTTGAAGCAGGTTATGGTGGGCTACCAAAATAATCTAAAAAGAACCCACAAGGCGCTCCTAAGCAATTGCAAAGGCTTACATTATATAACAATGAAATACTGTTCAAAATAGCAAGGGTAGGCATAGGTCAGTTAATGCTACCCATCATATATTCATATAGACCAGTACCTTTGACTTGCAGGCCTGATCTATCTAGCAATGCCAATATTCAAATAAGCATTCAAAACACACTTCTTCTTCCTATTCCCTATAGCACATTAACCTCTTGCCGTCCGCCCGTAGTAAAAAAACGGACGGACGGCACTGCAGCATCTGCGGGTTGCCGTCTCCAGACGGCAATTTTTTTCTGCTCGCGCGCGCCCCCTAGCGGGCACGCAATCACAGCTTTCTTAAAATGGAAGGTACTTAAATATAATGACTTCCATTACACATTTAAAAAATAAGAACCTTAATCAGTTTTTTATTGCTGCCTGTGTCCATGTTGGAGATTTCCTACATCTCCTAATGTTGTGCACCATTCCCTGAAGCATTCAAGACTATCCACCACCGGAGAAGGAAAGAAGATGAAGAGGACCCTATGCATCACATGACCTGACAGCGACTAAAGGTATTCAGTTTGGGGAGCCGAAGCAGAGAACTTGGAGGGAGGCAAACCACTAATGGCAGTGACCAAGTTGGGCTTGAAGTATCAGCACAAGCTAAAATAAATTTTCTGTGTTGTTCATATCATGTGATGAGCAACTACAAGGCCTAGGGTTTAATCACACTATTAGGAGTGGAGATACTACTCTAAGCCATACACTGTATTGAATCCGAGTATACACCCACAGTGCAGTACATAAACACTGGGATATACTGTACGGTATAGTGATAATCTCATTATTATATGATACCTTGACATTGACACATACACATAAAAAGTTATTAAACTTACTATAAATGAGCTGTAATGGTTGCTCAGTTGCACTGCTACATTCAGGCCCAAAAAAGCTGGATGTATTCTTCATTATTATGGAGATTCCACGAGATTCAATAACACATAGAACCGAAAATGTAGGAGAATCTTTAGCAGTGGGATAGGTAACGAGCTGTCAGTACTTTTTCAGCATCAGTTTATCATTAAACCATGCCATGTATACTGTGTGTTTCCTATACTACAAATGAAAACCCTTTTCATTAAATGCTGTTCTCCAATAATAGCAAAACAGATGTGTTTTTAATATAATTATTCGTTTAATGGTTTTCCCTGATATAGTTAAACTTTAACAAGTCTAGTGACTTTCTTTATCATGTGTTAATTCTTAAGGACACCCCACACAATATAATAAAAAGCCTGACAGGGAAATACTTTGTCCAAAGTAAAATAACAACTATCGAAATGTAGAATTTATTTTAAATTTATAAAGAAATTTTACTAAAGGGAAGTTGGATGCAGTTAGTGCAGTAAATGGATGAATTGCTTCTAGTTGTTTTGCTGCTTGTGTTAGTGGCAGCCATGGTCCGTTATGGTATTAAGTTAAAGTTAGTCCTTCCAATTTGATACTATAGCTATAGGTGCAGCCCGTGGCCTCTTATATGACAGGCAGAGTTCCCTACTAGAGCCTTTTCACACAGGTTTTCCGATCAGGTCTGCAGGTCAGTTTTTCAGACAGCCAGTGATAGTCTATGGGTCCTATGCCCTCCTGATTGGACTGTGTGAAAGAGGCCTTACAGAGTCGTTTTCTCTGCTCCTATTAAGTGGGGAGTTTCCCACTTTTTGTGTTCCAGCAGCGTATGTTACTTCCTCTATAATATAATCTAAATAAAAAATTCAGCAGAGTTGAAACCTCTAGTAATGGCCACAGCAGATGTGCAAAACTAAGAAACCAAGTGCATATTTCCCAAAACTCCTTGACTATGAGAAAAATATAAGGAATTTGTAGATGGTAAGCATCTAACTAAAACTGAAATAGCAGTTTTGTGGACTAAACCTTTACAGGGTCAGTCCAGCTTTAAGAAATAATGGAAACATTTACATAAGTCTAAATTTAAAGACAAGTGGTAAAAAGGTGGTAAAAATTTTGTAAAAACATCCCTATCTGCAATACTCACCTCTACCCCAGTGCTGTCCCGTGAAGTTAAAAGGCTATGGGGTAAGTTTTTTTCCCCATAGTTCTCTTTAGGGTCATGGGAGGACATATGCTAACCTCCTTTCGTGACCCAAAAGCTCAGTATATAGCGAGCTATTGCCCTCGATATACAGAGAGCGGTGATTGATAGTCACCGCTCTCTGCAGGGAGATGATCAGGAAGTGACCGAACAACGGTATGTCCCTCCAGCTTCTTTGTCATAGGTTGACTCTAATTATGTGGATGAGGGAAAATCACTCACCTCATAGTTCTCCTTTGCACCACTTGTCTTTTGGGTTGAATAGCGCCCAGCATGAGTACAGGGCACCACTATTTGCAGCATTCAGGGATGGTGGAGTAATATACAGAAGAAGAGTACCCAGCTCAAAGATTGGCTTTGAAGCCCTTTTTGTGGGTGGCAATATTTTTCAACACATAACAGATGTCCTGCTGAGTAATCTATAGCTACTTTCTCTGGAATTCTGCATCCCAAAGGTCAGCAACAATACAAACTATCCCAATTTTTGGCACCTGAAAAGTCCTGGGACATGCTTAATTTTCTCTATATACTTAATGTAATTTGAGAGCACCCAGTACCACCTGTACCCCAGCATTCACAGCCTTACTGTTCTTGGAAGTCAATATCTGCCTTGATTGGATTATCGTGATTCAGTTAATCATAGAGAAATTAGTAAAAAAAGATTTCTTGTTGGTTATTATGGATTACTGCTAATTACCTGGCTGTTTTGCTATTCTCTGGTTCCAGTACTTTGAGTCAATGACCCTAAACATGTGTGCAGATCGGAAAGTCAGGAATAAGTGAGAAGTCCTTATCTGCAGAGTTCACTCATACTGTAGTAAAGGGTTCAACATACCAGCTAGGTAACTAGCATTTTCAGAAATAAAGGTCAGCAATGGCAGCCTCCATGATTCTTTCATAGGAGGATTCCTTAAAGCGATCCTGTCAGGTTAAAATTAAATCCAGATGAAAAGTCCATGCAATAAAAGTGCTTTTGGGAGTCTCCTTCCTGGTGGCTTGTCTCCTACCTTCCCTCCATTCCAGCACTGCAACTCTTCAGCATTTAACAATTCCAGGAGTGTCAGATGCCTGTTACCCCTACTGTTCCATCATCTGACCCTTACGTCACTGCTTAAAAGAGATCTTAAGTCCCAGCATATACTATCCTTTTATAACAACAACGGAATACATACTATAGATGTTTTTGATAATGCAATCAAAGCTTTATTGAAAAAAGCCCTTTTATGTAGTGGGTAGAGATGAGCCTGAGCTTGGTGTGAACCCAATTCACCTGAGTTTGCCCAAGCCCGCTCAAAACTATTACTGCCACTGCCCACCTCCCGGCCCAATCAGAGGCATTGGTAGCTGCGGGGTGGGCAATGCACCTCTCTGGAGGAGGAGATGGTAATAACAGTTTTGAATGGGTTTGGGCCAACTGACAGGCTTCTAACTGTCCACACTTTCAAAAACTTCCTGGATTCCTAGTGTTCTTGTCTTTCCTACATGTCTTTCCCTGCTGCTTGATGTGATGCAATCTCAATTTCTCAAGACTACACAGCCCATAATGCATTGCGTCCAGCAAGCAATGATAATCTTACATTGTTCAGTTATTGGATTGTAGTTCAGAAGGCAGGCTCTCTGAGTCGTGACACAAGGAAGTTCATATTCACAGGGTGCAGTGAAATGGTGTCACTGCAATGAGGAAGTACATCCTATGGGCCTCTCAATAAGCAAGTTTACAAACTTCTAGATCAATATGGTTATTAGGAGTGGGATTGAATTTATGGAAATTCAATATAGAAATACATATTTATTTGTAGTTTTTCTCCATAGATACCCTTTAGGTTGACCATACACTATTAGAGTTTTTTTATTCAGCTGAACAAGCTAAAAGGACGACCTTTTATCTGGAATGCTTTTTACCTGAAAGGGTTAAACAGTACAAAATATTGATTGCACATCATTTTTATGTTGCTGTTTCATACATATCATTATAACTTTGTTGTCACAACAAGCTGTTTCCTACATTGGCCATGTTTGTTCTATTTTGGGCCTACATGTATCAGATAAGCTTTTATAATAAATACATCAGAAACGTCATATTGACAGTCTTCCTCATATTTCCAAAATAAGCAGCGTTTCCATTCTAGCGTGAAATGCCAGCTAGTGATAAATTAAATCCGCCCTCCCACAGGAATAATATCCTGTCTGCCTGAATGGACATAGTATAAGTTACAAAAAAATGTTTTGTGTTCCGTTCTAATTCAATTATGCCGACCTGGGGATTGGATATTCTGTCTTTCAAACAACTAGTGAAAATCAGTAGCAGCTGGGCACGCAACAGATCACTAATAATTGACTTTTAAATCGTATTAATAAGTGTTATTCCGACAGGTATTATGGCTAGATCGGTGACGTTTATTTTCAAATCATGCTCAAGGTGCAAAACTTTGCACAGCATGCTATAAATGTAGAGATAACATCAATGCCACATTAGCCCTGAAGTGGTTAAATATGTGTTTTTCATTTGGGCACTAATGCAATCCAGGCATCCTCTGCTCTCCATCTCTTGCATGTACAGTAACACTATCCTGTCTTTTTCCCTGCTGCTCAGTCTGAGTTCACCCCACTTCCTCTCAGATTAGGGATACACACTGTGGAATGCTATGTTACACTCCATCCTCTCCCTCCTTATATCACTGCTGGACAAACATCCCTCTCAGCCTCCTGTAGTGACACCCATAAACTTCAAAGGGGAGGAGATGGGGAGTGGCGGAGCTCTCAGACACATATGTACAAAAAGCACATGGTTTTCCAATAAATTTGCAGTCACTGGGATATCTTCTTCCCCGGCTTGTCTTTATCCTTTGCTGAGGTCCCTGGAAATGTTGTGTTTTTAGTGGAGTAGGTGACAGCCCTGTTTTCTGCATCAGGTCTACTAAGTTTGGAGCAGCATCAGCAGCTGTCGTATGACAGAGTAGGAGGGAGTTCAACTCAGGCTCAGCAAAGTCTGCCGGGGAGAGACTGAGTACTATCTGCTTCTTTTTTCAGGGAGCTGGGACTGAGAAGACAGAGGGCTGAGCCCCTCATAAGGGTGTCACCTAGCTAGGCAATATGGACATATAACAACTCAGAAGACCACCAGGCTAGAGACTACTCAACAGAGGCACCTCCAGTCTGCCTGCAGTATCCACTACAGTGCCAAGATGAAAGGTAAGCCTCTGGACAGTATATATACATTGGAGGGGGGTTACTAAAAGTGGAGCTGGTAACCAATCAGCTTCTATCTTCAGCTCAGTCAGTTAAGCTTTAAAAGTGAAAACTAGAAGCTGATTGGTTGCCATGCACAGCTGCTCCAGATTTTGTCTGTTCCAGTCTTCCTGCTGCTTCTATCAGAGTTATTTACAATAGTTTACCGTTCTTTGCAATATTAGTGAGCATACCTTATTTTTTAGGACAGTGTTAGGCAACCTCAGCACTCCTGCTGGGGTGAAACTACAATTCTTATCATGCCTCTGCCTCTGCAAGTTATGCCTGTGGCTGTCAGGGACTTGCAATACCTCGTGGGACTTGTAGTTCCACAACACAAATTCTGTTTTCTCTAAACGCAGCTACACCGACAGCACCTAAACGCAGTTTGAACTGTACCATTAAAAGTCATTTGTAAGCATTTAGAAACTCAGGTTTGATACTGCAAGTGTGAATGAGGCCCAAGGCTGCGTCTGACCTGGCTTGCTTTGCGTTCCTTGGGATGTAACAGGTCCCATTTTGATCCTTGAAAACTCATCTCTTCACCTCCACATAACTGGACTTTTACTTCTTCCATCAGCTCATCCCTCCCAATTAATGTCTTTTGTATCGCCTCCCCCTCTTACTGGAGTGTAAGCGCTCAAGACCAGGGCCCTCCTAACCCTCCTGTATTGAATTGTATTGTAACTGTACTGCCTTCCTTTATTTTGTAAACTGTTAATGATACATACTTCCTGAATAATAATAATGATGATAATAATAATAATTGCAGGAAAAGCAGATCAATCCCGAGCCTTGTGTTGTGATTTGCGGAGAGCTCACACAGCCCTGTGTTTGAATACATAAGGCAGCATTTCACAACAAAGCACATCTAGGTAAGCCCTATCTCTCTTGTCAGCTCAGGTAGTATGGTAGCCTGCTGGAAAGTTCCTTGGCCCCTGTTTGGCATTGTACTGATGTGTTTTTTTGTCCTCCGCTCCCCTAAGCACAGCCCCACACTGGCCTTTCGTGATGTGCTGTGTTTTCCTGCACACATCTGGAAATGGTTAGGTGCCAGTGGAGGCAGGACTGGCTTGTGAAATATATTTGGCATCCTTCTATCCAGGATCCACTGACTGGAAAATATTTGCTTTTTTCTCAACATATTTGAGATCTGAGCATAAGTGGAGGTTACAAGTATGAGACATGCTGCTCCAATTAGGGCCAGTGAGACACAGAGCATCCAGTCCAGGAGAAGTTCAAGTGACTTACAGGACATTACTACACTCTTTGGAGGTTTACAGAGTCAGTAAAAACAAACAAGCAGAACAATGTATTTATTAAACTGGCATACTGCTTTCATTGTAGCTAGAAGGACCTTGAGGACATGAAGCTTATTTATGAGCCCTGCTGCTGCAAAAAGATATGTTCCAGATTCTGAATAATAAAGAAAAGATTTGATCTGGAAAATGACACAGCGACTGGACGTTTATGTGTTCATAGCGGGGTCACACTAACCATTTGATAATATAGTATCGATCTATAACTTTTAAAAACCTTCACTTCCTGTCCGAGAAGGAATCCCTCCAAAAAGAGTGGAAATCCCAAGTGGTCAGCAGGGTCACCAGAACTAGTGTCCCCATTGGAGGATTTCCCATTTATTCCTGTTCTCATGAAAACCCCAAATGTGGGATTTTCTTTCATTTTCACTTCAGTGATAATGGTCACCAGGACATATAAGAAAGGCAAATCTCCCCTACGGGGACACAGACAGCAAAAAACAGGTGTTTTAATGTATCTCCACTTTATCCAAAACAAATTTTGGCTTCAGTTGCACTTTAAGCATTTAGCCAATTCAACTTCAGTTCACTTGAATGGCTGTAAAGTGATGACTACATTTCCAGCATGTGTGCACCAACTGGTCATTTCATATTACCTTCCACTTTAAGCCCCCTTCCCACACGTATTGCTACATGTGTGGCCCAGACATTTATCATTAGCCATTTGTAACTTCAAGCAGAACCTGTAGTGGAAGAAATGGAGAATTCTATTGCTGACCTCATTGTGAAAGCGCTAGTTGCTTGGCTGTCATTGGGATGCAATACTTTCTGAATCGCTGGCCAAGTATGCAGCCCAGGAGAGTCAGAATAACGTGGGAATTCCTGAGCCTACTATATGAGATCAGGAACACAAAAAGTAGTAAAGCCACTGATTTACTATGACATCCATGTAACTAGCGTTTTCAGAAGGGGATGTCAGCAATGGTAGCATCCGTACCTCCTAACACCTTTTACTTGTTGCTCCCAACAATCAACCAGCTGTTAGCTTATATATTGCAAGTTGCACAGGAAAAATGACTATTGGTCCATTCACATCTAGTGCGTTGCAGTAAGGCATGTGAGGTAATTTACGATATTCATGCATTACCATGTGTTGTGTTAAGGCAACCCATTGTTCTAAAGGCAGCCCATTGACCATACTGCAACAAACTGAAAATTGGACATTTCCTTTTTTTTTTTAATGCAGAGCACCACAATGCACAGATGGTTCACATCCTCATGTTACAGTGCTCTACAAAGTAAGTGCCTCGTGCTGCCCTGTCTAGGTATATTAGGGTACCATTCTAAAGCTTTAGTGAATGTGGTTGGTCTTTATGTCAGCAAATTGGCCCCACATTAGGCACAACTGCTGTAAAGGATTCAGAGGTATGTAAAGTAGAATCATTAGGAAGCATGTTTGTGTATTTGGATTCCATTATAGACCTGCCTGTGCATTCATATTGCGCTATAGGCCTCTCTGTGCATTTTCATGTTCTGTTATAGGTCTGTCTGTGCAGATGTATTCTGCTATAGGACTGTCTGTGCATATATATTCTGCTGTAGGCCTGTCTGTGCGTTCATATTCCGTTATAGGCCCGTCTGTGCGTTCATATTCCATTATAGGCGCGTCTGTGTGTTTATATTCTGTTATAGGCCTCTCCCATTACAATATTTATTAGAAGTTTAACTCAAGCTGCCCATACACCTGACTAATATCGTATGATAATCGTGGGTGATCCCGCGATCGTACGATAATCGTAAGGTGTATGGGCAGCGTGCAACCGCATTTACTGTATGGTCGCACGGTTTTCGTATTACGTGCGCGTATTTCGTATTACGAGTTGCTCAATCGCAAGACGAAAGCCGCACGGCCCGAGGTGCGCAAGCGCACACTGCCCGCTCACCATTGCAATCATCTGTAAGGCCTCCCCTCAGCGGGGAGGACATGCGGTGATCGCAAGTACGATCTGCCTGTCCAAGATGGGCAGGTCGTACGAAATTTTAATCACCTTACAACCAACGCACAACGAAAGTCGTGCGATGGTTGTAAGGTGTATGGCCAGCTTAAGTGTAATAACTTTGTCTAGCACCTGCTGAAAGTGTGTTTGAATGGAAAAGGCTTCATTTAACAAGAACACCTGTTTCTATAAGCCCTAAGGCCTCATGTACACTAGCTGGCTGTGTTTAAGCAGAAGTAATCTGGTGAGTATAAACAACTTTATATTTCCGAGATCACTTTTTCTGTGCTAGGCATAGTCGCGTTTAAATGCGTTTATACGCGTTGATACGTGTTTACACGTATTTTGCAGATTAAAACTGGGCAAACAGATCCAGGACACAGAAACATCTACTTTGGGTAAACACTTCCAGAACAAATGCACCTAGACACTGCTGGACGTCTAGGTGTGCATTCTGGCATAGAAAAGCATTGATATAGGTGCGTTTAGGAATGAGCTTCAAACGCACCTGAACTCATGTTTGTTCAATGTAGTGTGCATGAGGACTAAATGTTATTACAGGGAAATGTCTGACTAACACAACTTTTGTGTATGTGTTTGGCTATAATAAAGGAAAATTGATAGAATTAGCACACATCATAAGAATCACACAAATCAGAAACCCAAATGATCTTAATTCATGAATTGTATAGTTTTTTTTGCAGACTAGACAATTTGCAGGTATACAGTATATCCTGACATAACTTTGCAGTTTGCCGATTCCCTGATGTTTAAAGCAGTTTATTCATCACTATTTGAAATATATACTATACTTCTACATTATTTGCAGCTGCAATTCAGGATATCAGAACACGAATGCAGAAAGAAAACTCTTATGTTAGCTTTACTAGGGAATGAGAAAGAAGCTTATTCCATGGCAACCACAAGCAGCAGTACTTACTGTATGCAATGCTAATCATGGCCACACACGATGCTGTTCTGGCAAAGAAATCAGGCAAGTAGCCCAGAGGTAGAGCTGATGTAGTAAATTGGAAGAAAAGAACCTGGGGGTGTTGACAGCAATAAAAATCAGGTTTAAATTTGCCAACATTGCAAAGTTAATCAGCTAGGATAGCTGTGTTGTGGGAAATATCAATTTCTACTGAAAGCAAGGAAAAGCTGAAAACACTGCAGTGTTTTCTATGGCAGAAAATGCAGATGAGGACTACTCCCAGTATCCATCAAGAACAGATCAGCAATAATCTGCACAGCCAGATGACACAGAATTTGAAAAATTCAGGAGCCAGCACAGCTGGTTTAGAAATACAGGAAAAAAACAACCATAGACATCAGTACAGATAACCACAAAAAGTTACATGCCAGCTGGTATTCTGAGTTCCTGGGATTTATCCAGTTTTACAGAACACTTGGACCTTTACAGCTTGTTCTTAATGTGTCTAGCCAAATATGACAAAGATCCACCAGCACAAGGGTTGTGACTAAGAGTTGGACCTGCTTGTGAACATTGAATTTACAGATAGTAAGTAAGAGTTTATTTGCACATTAAAAAAAAGAACAATTTCCAGGCTACCACTGCTAATTTATCATTCTAAAGATGCTGGTTCCTGTGCTATTATGCTTACCCCCTAACTTCAATACTTTGGAGTTGATTTACTGAAGGCAAATAGGCTGTACACTTTGCAAGGGAATTTTACAGTGACACTAAGGA